TATTTTTATCATTTTAAATTTGAGCGACTTCAATATATCAACTCAAATACATAAACGATAGGAAACGACATCTACTGATTCGAATCCATGATATTCATTAGTCTATGACACAATCATTCATTAGTCTCTGTTTTCAGGTGGGATGCGAAATTGGAAAAATATTAATGTTCAATCTGGTTTTATTTTAAACTGTCAAAAATTTGTAAAATGTTAGAAAATTCTATATAATACGTCACAAGTTGATTGATAAAGGTTAAAATCGTATTTTCAGAACATCGATTGTGGCCTAAATAAAAGAATTTCCCAATTCCAGTTCACTTATGAATATTAGATTTTATCAGTTTAACAAAAGGCGGTAAATATATAAATATTCTCTCATAGAACTTACAATTTGGTCAAGTCAATAATTTTGTTTCCTTTTTCACCTTTACGTAAATTGACAATACGATTCGGTGCGTGTTTAACAACAACTGTCGCCCACGACTGACCTAATTGAAAATGTCCATAAAAAAGGATATTTACTAGGAATGGATAGCGTGACGCCTAAACTAAGACAGTCATAGCACGAGCAAATTCGACAGACATCGACCATCTACGATTAACAATAAAAATAGCATTCGTTTGTGTTCAGTAATTGGAAACGGCAATATGTGATGGGCCGCAAAGGAAAAAAAGTTTGTTGCGATGAATATAGATAATGTGTATGTATGTGTGTTCCCACACCATATGACTTGCTAACTTCCTGGTAAACGTCCTGCTCTGTTTATCTCTATTAATAAAAGAGTAAGGTTGTTGACTGACTGATTCTTAAAACAGTAAAAGTTTGAATGTTGATATTTTGCATGATAGTCACTAAAGGGTAGTATACACATAACACACCAGATGTTTACATTTTATTGCCTTTTTATTAAATGAAGCATGATGCTGTATAACTTATCTTGACATTAGGATAATACATTATAGTCTTAAGGATTCCTTTATATTGTTTTTAATTGTAATCTTATTGATAAAAAAAGACTCAATAAAATATAACTTAACTTAACTTAGAGTCAAATGCATGGTATAATTATTACACTTTACCTAATAATGAAGAAAAAACACTGTGTTATTCTATCATGAGTCAAATGTAAAGCTACTTTTTCTACATTTATGTTAAGTATTTTTATAACATACTTTAAGGCGCTCCACAAAACTTATCTTAAAGAAAACGCTTTGTAGCATAGTACACATGTTAGAAGAATATAGGTAGACGCGTCGACATAGCTGCTGGGACAATGAACTGCCAAACCAATTTTGTAATTGAAAATGTTGAATGGAGAATTATTTAAATTTGTGCGAATTCTTAAAAAATTCATAGCATAACAATCTCCAATTGGCGTCGTAGAAGAAAACTTATAAAAATCTATTTATTTTTGGAAAAATATTAAAATTTTTTGACATATCAATGTTCCCAAGCGTTGATGCATCTACCTGTATTCTTCTACCATGATAGTACATTAATAAATTCATACTATAGGCAGCGAACGAAAACAAACGAAACGAATAATATACTGCTCACACGAAGTCATAAACGTAAAAATTATTTTCAATCGTTTTTTACTTCAAACCATGGTAGAAGAATATAGGTAGACGCATCGACACAGCTGCTGGGACAATGAACTGTCAAAACAATTTTGGAATTGAAAATGTTGAATGAAAAATTATTTAAATTTGTAAATATTGTTGAAAATCGCGAATTATAATGACCTCCGAATGACGTCGTATAAGAAAACATTTAAAAATCTACTTATATTTGAAAACACATTTAAAATTTTTTGACATATCAATGTTTCCAAACGTTGATGCATCTACCTGTATTTTTCTGCCATGCTTCAAACAAAACAATACCACAAACATTTCAATGCCAGAAGTACACAAAAAATACGATTACCTTAATGTACTTCGGCTGTGATTTGCCGAACTATATCGTTTGCGAACGAATCGCCGGGAAATGTTTCCAAACGTTTGGTGTGTGAAATGATGTTTATGATATTTAGGGTCGTCATTCTAAATATTGTTTTCTACCATTATATGATGGACGTAATAAATAAATATAAAGGCATGAAGTTAAACTTGTATTAGTTTTTACTTTTTTTGTAATGAGTTAATATACAGGGAAATGTTTGCAAACGTTTGCAAGGAATTATGTACTGTTTCGTTACCAATGTTGCTTCATACAGCAGAGTACATTTCAAAACAAAATACAAAGCAAGTCCCGTTATCTTAATATCAAGTTTGTTTCGTTTCGTACTTCAAGAAAATACGGAACAAAGTTTATTTTCGTACGCCATATATATTATATAGTATAGCATTTAAAAGTACGGACAATTTTGTATGGTATATTGTACTAAAGTACTAAAATGCAGAAACTAAAACTCCAACATTTTGCATTGAGTGACAATCTAGATAGGATGGGGGAAATTGTAGAGAATTCAAGGAAAAAATCCCGTCTTGGATCGGAAGAGTGGGAAAGTGAGAGTTTTTTTGAGTTTAACATATTTTTAATATATGAACGAGTATAAGATGACCCGAAACGATAAGTAAGTGTTCGAAAAATATCTTTGATTTTTTCCATGGGACTACCCTTGCTGAAAGCAAATTAGTAAAATGATTTTTATTAAATTCTTACAATAATGGTACGTAATATACTCGAAGGTGTAACGAAAGAACTAAAACGTCAAAAATGACAGGGCATTGTTATTGAGCTATTAGTATCGGCTAAAGCTTTGATAACTTGTGGCATACCGGAGGAAGTAATGCGATATTTTAAAAACTTTAAACTATGATACAAAAATTAAATATGCTTAGTTTGTACTAAATCAACGACAAATTTTCAATTTTTTTAAGTACGTCCCACTGATCAAAAAAAAAAAAAAAAAAAAACGAAGATTAATTCAGCGAAGAATTGTATTGCTTTGCAAAGTGAAGGATACAGTTCAGATGATCAGGTTCTCATTATTACATCTTTCCTTTAAAATAAAGGGATTTTATACAGAGATATCGATTATCAGGATTAGAGGTTGAAGGATAGTAATTGTTTGGAGCCTGCACTACAATAACATATTTTTTGGAAAGGGTAATGACAATTAACTTGATGATCTCTGCAATTAAAAACAAGACCAACGTAGACTTTTGGTCTTGTAAGTAATAAAGTCATTCATCCTATCGTTAGATCCAGGACATTTAAGATGCATAAAATTAACATATATTTACTTGCTTTATATGTGATAATTTTATGCATTGATGTCTCTGATGGCGCAATCTTTATTGGAGCAAATCATTTTTGAATATTGATAATCGACCAATCTGACTTAAATTCCAACTACATTTTTTAAATTTGCTGCCTGAAAATATGCTAAGAAAAGTAATTTATTACGTATAGAGCCGCTGAAGAGGAATCAGCCACAAACTTCAAACCATGGTAGAAGAATACGATGAACTGTCAAACCGATTTTGGAATTGAAAATGTTGAACGAAAAATTATTGAAATTTGTAAAAATTGTTGAAAAATTCATATTATAAAAAACTCCAATTTGCGTCGTATAAGAAAGTATACTTATTTTTGATAAAACATTTTAAAATTTTTGACATATCAATGTTCCCAAACGTTGATGCATCTACCTATATTCTTCCACCATGCTTCAAATCTAATATAACACACTACGATGTAAGCACAAACACGGAAACAAAGATATATATAAGCACTGATGTATTTACGGCCAAAAATATTAAATAAAATATATCTATATGAAAACCGACTTGTTTCACGAATACTTCACGCTATAATTAAAATATGGTTAATTGAAATGTCACATTTCAACACTAGAAAAGTCACGATAAAACTAATTTTTGTTCCATTTAGTTAGGCGACATATAGAAAAGAAACACTTTTAATCGATCAGAATAGCCAAAAAAAAAAAAAAAAAACTGTAAGGTTAGGTCAATGTCCGACTATATAATACCCTACACCACTACAGCTCATTATATTGTTTATAAGCGTACAAAAGCATTTTGGTGAGAATTTTCCAGAAAAAAAAAACTATTCGTGATGGAATTCAAGTGTGATTTCTTTATATTTGGCTGGAAAACAAAAAGTGACTATCGTTAGAGCTCTCCAGCATTTAAATGTGAATAAATATTTTGTGTCTCGTACATCGCTCGTTACCGTGATACTGGTAGCGTAGCCCGACGTCAAGGAATTTTACGGAAGAAAACAGCAACATCAGCAGAAATGGTTCGAAAAGTAAAGAAGCGACTTGATCGAAACCCGCGTCCAGTGGCCGAAAAATGGCTCATGACTTGAACATATCGCAATATTCCATTAGGTAAATATTGAAAAATGAGCTCGGGGTAAAGCCATTAAAGTGCAAGAACTTAAATCGTTACGGAAATAAAATAGACTCAAAAGAGCTTCGCTTGGCCGAAAGTGGTGAATTGCCAAATTTGGTTTTCTCCAATGAGAAATGTTCGTGTTTACTTGCCAAATAGGTCAGCTGAAAATGTGCACCTTCGGTTGGCCACCAGAACTCAAGTGCCAAAGGTGATTAATTCGAACAAATCAAAACTTATTCTAACATTTTATGCTATGTCCGGCATTTTCTGCTTTCATTCAATAACATTATAAAAATGTAAAAGTTATGGCCTTTGACTTTGTTGCAGTTTATTTAACTTACCCTGTAGATTTGCCAAAATTCAGGTCATTTGGAATGATATTGGCCATTTGGTGCACAATTAACCGGTAACGAAATCGGTTGAAGATATATATGGGAGCTATATCTGGATTTGAACCGATTCGGTCAGTGGAAGGGTTCCAATGTTTCAATGTTTTTTCGTTTAGACGTTTGATTTACCGACCCCCTATTGAAATTGTCACACCCAGACCATGATCTTTAACAGTGTTTCAATAACATGAAATATTCCTTATTTTTAAATATATTATATCTGACAACATTTGATCTTACCTTTTTGTCATGATGGGGATGAGAATCAGGTTGAGGCAATGACACTGAACCATTCTGTTTTGGCTTTCTAACTTCCGGCTCAAAGGAGAAAACATAATTATCATTTCCACCCCAGCTGGTTAGACAATTATCCTTATCCACATATGTATTGATGGTCTTCTTGGTAATGATTTTCAAAATTTCGACAGCTTTTTCTGGCAAAAGAGCTTTGACAATTTTAAATGCGGCTGTAATTAAGAAGAAAAAATTATTTTTAGCAATTTACCAAATAATGCTCACGGCATAGAAGGCGATCCTTCCAACAACTAGCCATTTGTCCGTTCTATTTCCCAACTTACCATTCAGTATCCATGCCATTTCAAATACTAAAATATAATTCAATGTATTGGGGTAATACATCTTGAATGTTTCAATAATCATCTTGATGAAATCCAAATCCATATTCGACAAACCGGTTCCGTCCATGTCAAAGAAAATGGTCATCTTCTCCAAATGTCGTTCACGTTGTATACGTTCCACCCAGTAGATGAGAACTTTCAATAATTCGTTCATATCTTTGGCGCCTTTGATGTGTTTGCTGGTTTTGAATATTAACAGTGGTTTGCCATCGACGTCGCAGTTGTGGGGAAAAATTACACCGTCACTCAGGTAATCCATCCGTACATTGGTCTCGTTTGAGTCATTGGCTCCGAACTTTTGACGCCATATACATGTCGACCATAATTTTTCGAACGATAGTTTCATGTCCAAGTCATACATTTCCAGGAAGCGCGTACACCACAGATCGTCATTTCGAACGCGATCAATATCGACAGGATGGAATTTTTCTGCAAAAAGAATATTAATTTTTGTAATAGGTTTGCCTCTGTTATTTTTGATACAAAAAAGTAAGGAAAGGCTATGGTCGGATGGGGTCGACCCCTCTATGTAATTAGGTGAAGTTACTTTAGATTTACACTACTTGCTAATTCCGCCACAAAATTATGAAATCTCCAATAATAGTTATCAAGTAAAGAAATGCTAGTATTCAAGGATACGACATACAGGGTGAGATAAAAAACTGCAACAAAGTCAAACGGCAAAATTTTTATATATATTTTTAAGTTTGATTGAATGAGAGCAAAAATGTCGAAAATAGCATCAAATTTTAGAATAAGTTTAGATTTGATCGGATTGGTCACTTTTGGCACGAATTATGGCCTTCAAACGGCCAATGCAACCGTCACACGCTGCCCGAATGTTGCTCTGCTGTATTTTGGCCCATTCCCCGCGAAGCGCTTGCTTAGGTGGTCGACACTTTGATACTTTTTAATGCCAACCTTGCTTTCTAAAATACTCCAGACACAATAGTCCAACGGATTGGTATCCGGAGATTTTGGTGGCCATTGTGCACTGGAAATGAAGCGAGGAACCTCATTTTGTAACCATTCTTGGGTGGCGCGTGCTGAGTGCGATGGTGCTGAATCCTGTTGGAATGTCCAAGGTTAGCAGCCAAAATGTTTGCGTGCCCAAGGCTTTAATACACCCTCCAGAATATTTTCGCGATTATATTCGGCATTTATTCTGATGCCACGGTCGATTAATACGAGAGGAGAGCGACCGTTGGCTGTTATGGCGGCCGACACCATCGCCATGGCCGGCGCTTAAATTCTGGTGGCCAACCGAAGTCGCAGCTAACCTCTTTGGCAAGTAAACACGATAATTTTGTTTGTCTAAAACTGCTGGACAACGAATGTTTTCTCATCGGAGAAAACCAAATTCGGCAATTCACCACTTTCGGCCAAGCGAAGCAACTCTTTAGCTCTTTTGAATTTATTTTCTTTCTGTTGCGGAGTAAGTTATTTCACTTTTTGGAATATCAATGGAATATTGCGATATGTTCAGCTTACGAGCCATTTTTCGGCCACTGGACGCGGGTTTTGATCAAGTCGCTTCTTTACTTTTCGAACCATTTCTGCTGATGTTGCTGTTTTCCTACATCCACTTCTTAGCTACCAGCATCACGGTGAAGTGCGATGGTACGAAATATAAAAGATTTATTCACATTTAAATGCTGGAGTGCTCTAACGATAAATATAAGGAAATCACACTATCACGCTTGAATTCCATCACGAATAACTTTTTTTCTGGAAAATTCTCACCAAAATGATTTTGTACGCTTGTAAACAATATAATGAGCTGTCACTGGAATAATTTTAACAGCTGTCGGATTAGTGACTTAGCAATGACAGCAGTCTGAAGTTGGTTGCAGTTTTTTCATCTCAACCATAGTTACTTTTGAGGATCTGCATAGAATCAGTTTCATAGTCGATTTATGCATCTCAGTCCGTCCGACCGTCTGTCCATATATTTTTTGAACAAAATGCAGGTCGAATTTATTATCCTCCCCATATATATCTTCAACCGATTTCGGCCAATATCAGTCCAAATGACCTGAATTTTGGCACATCCAACCGAATTCAGTCTAGAAGCAAGTACATTAAATTTGGAGAAAATCGGTTCAGATCCGATTTGGGGTTTTAAGTCCTTCACATGCGTGATATGCACTCCACAAGAATGATATTTGGCTGATACTGTTGGAAAATACGTATGCCAGATATTATCGAAATCGGTTCAGATTAGGATATAACTCCCATACATATCTTTATCCGATATCAGGTTTATTGTGCATCGAATGGCTAATACCAGCCCAAATGAACTGAATTTTGTCAATTACGGCTGAATTCATCGTAGAAACCAGTGCTTGAAATTTGGTGTAAATCGGTTCAGATATAGCTATAGCTGTCATGTATATGTTTTATCCGATTTAGGGTTTAAAGTTCCTCACAGGCGTAATATGCACTGTACAACAATGATATTTGGTACCAGATATCGGATACAGCTCTGAAATATGTGTATACATTTTTATATATCATATAAATATATATATATATATATATATATATATATATATATATATATATATATATATATATATATATATATATATATATATAAATATATATATATATATCGTCAAGCGATTTCGGGTTAATTGTGCACCAAATAGCCAATATCAGTTTAAATGACCTGAATCTTGGCATATCCGACCAAATTCGGTCTAGAAGGAAGTACATTACATTTGGTGGAAATCGGTTAAAATATAGCTGTAGCTCCCATATATATGTTTCATCCGATTTGGTGTTTAATTCCCTCACATTCGTGATATGCATTCCACAACAATGATATTTGATACCAGATATCTTATAGACTCGGAAATACATTTGCCAAATTTAATCGAGAATGGCTAAGATTTGAATAAAGCTTCCACTTATATCCTTAATCCGATTTCAGGTTTATTGTGCAAATAATGGCTAATATCAGCCCAAATGGAGTGAATTTCGGAACATACGTTTCCATTTTGGCTCCGATCTATTTTTATACCCTCCACCATTGTAAGTTTGTCATTCGGTTTGTAACACCTTGAAATGTACCCCACAAAGATCAGCATAAAATTGTCTGTCTGTGGGCATGTTTTTGCTTTGGGATTTTGTGGGTGAAATACTGGAAGGAATTGGTCAATTGAAAACATTGGCCAATTCCTTCCAGTATTTCACCCACAAAATCCCAAATTTTGAATATTATTGACTCACTTTAAATATTAAAACGGTACTACGGATTAGCTACACAAAGAATGAAACCAACACTATGTGGGATGTTATACTAGAATATTGTATTATATTAACTGCTGGTAAGATAGAAAATGCTAACTTTTTCAAAATACTAATTGCAACTCGTTTTGTTTTGTGTTGCAATATAAAATTTCCATATTGTAATTCAAAATGTTTGCACTGCCAATTAGCAGTAGTGATTCAATTGAATAAATAAACATGAAAGAGTGTAGTCAGAATTGCATTTTCTTATTTTGCTGCTGAACTTGAACTTTGTTCAGCGATTACAGGTGCGAAAGTATTATTAGCGTTGCTTCACATTTGAGTGATAAGCGAGTTGTCGGCTCGGATATAGTGTTTGTTGGTGCCCACCACTTGTTTATTACACCCAGCACAGTGGTCAAGTAGGCCACTCAGCTAATCTAATCTGTGATAAATCAACTCGAAGGAAATGTATTAGTCGCTATCAGTGGGGGACTAGAAAAAAATGATAATGTTATGGTAACAACTTTTATTGCTAAAAAATGTTTTTTTTTTTTTTTTTTGTTGCAATTTTTAAATAAAGGGTTATCGAATAACATGTGTTATTTTGGTATGTCAATAAGTGTCGTAATGTGGTATTCTGGTAGTCACCGTTATATGGGTCTATACAAACCAGGGTTGCAAATCACTTGTGGATTTGAGTTGGTTCGTTTCGGTGGTTCACTCTACCATGGTTCGGTTTTGAAATGGGGTTTGAATGGTTCGAACTTTGGCTTCGGTTCTGTATACTTTAATTTGTAAATGGACCGGCGAACCAAATGGACGTCCGACACATCTATTTTTTTTTGTGCTAAACGTTGAGTTTGAAATAAATGCGTAATTGCTATCGGGCAGTCCGGGAAACAACGCGTTTGTCATTTAGTGTTCAAAAATTGTTAAAGGTTGATTATGGTTTAAACATTAGTTTTTTTTCTCCACATAACTTTCGGGAAGAAGTCGGACCGAATACGCATCCGAAATCGGAAGCTTTATCCGACAATCGGTTTGACGTTGGACCGAACTCAAACAGTTAGGCTTGCTCGGGTATAGTATTTATTTAATTTGTCGCTGTAGCGTAACATCCCAAAAACTTTCAACATTTTTATAGTAAAAACAAGTAAAAAACATTAAGTTTGGCCGGACCGATCTTTGAATACCCTTCACCATTTGGGAAGAATTTGGAAATTACAAAAATACTTCTAAAAATCATAACAAGTAAAAAAAGCAGTAAGTTCGGCCGGGCCAAACTTTGAATAACCTCCACCATTTAGAACGAATTTGAAAATTTTCGAAAAAGATAACATTCGCCAAAAATTCTGTTAACATTTTAAAAATACCGATTATATCCGTTATATTAGGGCCAGTAGGACGTGTACCTACATACACATTGTTTGTCACAAGCCATTACCATATTCAAATTCGAAACTTGAAATAAACGGTGAATAATGTAGGCAAAATCATCAAAATGCCGTACATATGGAGGTACCGTTATATAGGAGCTATACGAAGACCTGGACCTGCACAGGCAATTTTCTGTCACAGAACTCTAAATACGTAATTTGAAACTACTACGGTGAATAATGACGCTAAAATCATCAAAATACCGAATATTGGGAGGGTTATATGGGGGCTATACGAAGACGTGGACCTGCATAGACAATTTTCTGCCTTAGGCTGTAGTATCCATTTCGAACTTAAAACACCAAATTTGAAATAATTCCGGTGAATAATGTCGCTAAAATCATCAAAATACCGAATATAGAGAGGTACCGTTATATGGGGGCTATACCAAGACGTGGACTTGCACAGACAATATTCTGTCTCAGGCTGTAGTATCCATTTCGAACTTCAAATGTCAAATTTAAAACAATTCCGGTGAATAAAATCACTAACATCATCAAAATACCGAATATCGGGAGGTACCGTTGCCTGGGGGCTATATGAAAACGTGAACCTACATGGCCCATGTATGAACTTAACCTGCCTACTGGCAAAATAAACATGTGTGCGAAATTTAAGCCTTCTATCTCAATTTGTTCGAAAGATAGCGTGATTACTACAGACAGACAGACGGATATCGCTAAATCGACTTAGAATTTTACGCTGATCAAGAATATAAGTTAACGTTAACTTCTTTATTTCTGTTTCTGTTGCGCGTGCAAGTTCGATGGCACTTAAATATGCTTGCAAAATGCTTACAATGCATTCATGTCATTCATTCGTATAAACAACAGATAAATGCTTACATTTTAAGAAACCTAACTCTAAGAAATAATAAAATCAAAAGTGCTAACGTTGCACTAAATACATTGTCCAACAAAACTTAATTTTAAGAATAAAGGAAAAATAAAGTTAGTCCCATTTTGTCACTCGAAAAAGAACGTTATGTTTAATTGGCGCCCAACGAAAAATTAAAAGCACCCAAACGGCTGCAAAGTTAATAAAGGCACCTCATGAAGCTGCAAACTGTCAACTAAAAATTAAAGCACCCAAACGGCTGCAAAGTTAATAAAGGCACCTCATGAAGCTGCAAACTGTCAACTAAAAATTAAAGCACCCAAACGGCTGCAAATTAATAAAGGCACCTCATAAGCTGCAAACTGCTAACTAAAAACATCAAAACCTGTGGAAGAAGGCACCTCATAAAGCTGCGTACTGGTAACTAAAAACATCAATAACCTGTTGAAGAAGACACCCTATAAAGGCTGTAAATCAACACTAAATCCCCAAAAGCTGTGGGAAAAAATTGTGGAGTACGAGAGAGTCAACGACATCCAGCCGGCTCAAAAGATTGAAGACACCCCCTTAGTAGCGGAAGCAAAAAGGAATACGGAGAATCAACAGGAGACGGCATGCTCTACAAAGTTTTATTGTAAGTTTAGAAAGAAAAGTGATAGTGTTTAAGTGAAGAAAAAAAAACTAAAAACATTGATAAAAACAATTTCCCTATTATTAATTTTGAAAAGTTAAAACAAAACAGACGGCATGCTCTATAAAGTTGTATTGTAAATTTAGAGATAAAAAGTGATAGCGTTTAAGAAAAAAAAAAACCCAAAAACTAAAAACATTGATAAAACAATTTTCCTATTATTAATTCTGAAATGTTAAAACAAAACAAAATTGTAAAAATATAATTTGTGTTCTAAAAGGTTAACAACTAAATAGTGATCGTTTAAAATGTCCAACCCAAATAACCTTATCCGACCACCCATCCTTAACGTCAATAACTCCGACGGACAAAATAATAACGGACAGAATAATAATAACAATAATAGCGCAATAAATTCAGCAAACATGGAACAAACCATTGCCAGAATCTGTGCACAGCAATGCCAAATTGCCATAGCCCAATTTTTAAGACCTAGTTCAGACATAGCAGGCGAAGACGAAACTATCGACGTCAGATATAGAGAGAACTTGACAGATTTAGATAAAGTACCCGACGTAGTGAGAAGCTTGAGAGAATTTTCAGGAAAAGCATCGGAATTCAGCTCTTGGAAAAAGAGTGTCGAAAGGATCCTTAAGTTATACGAATCTACAAAAGGTACCCCAAAATACTTTGCCATCCTTAACACCATAAGGAATAAAATCATCGGTAATGCCGATGCGGCCTTAGAGTCTTACAATACACCCCTTAATTGGAGTAGTATTTCAAAGTGTCTAACGCTTCACTACGCAGATAAGCGTGATCTTACGACACTAGAATATCAAATGACAACCTTAATACAAGGTAACAACAGTATCCAAGATTTTTATCAAGAAGTGTATTCACACCTTACGCTTATTATGAACAAATTGTCATGTCTCGATGTAGGTAAAGAAGCTCTAGATATCCTAGCCCAAACTTATAGGGATAAAGCTTTAGACATTTTCATAAGAGGACTAAAAGGTCAAATGTCAATTCATCTTGGCATGAAAGAACCGACGGATCTCCCACAAGCACTACAATTATGTCTCAAAATGGAAAATCAATTCGCTAGAGCACAATTTGCTAACTCACACAATCCAACAGTTAAAAATAATAGACTAAATTTTCAGAAACCACCCCATCCAAAAACTCATTTTCAAAATACGAATCAGATGCCATTTTACCCACAATTGGCATATTTGCCACAACACTCTGGTGTTCGACAAAATAATTCTAATCCTCCTATTTATCCTCGTAATAATTATAATCAACATAATTACCCCCAAAATCAAAATTTGCAACCACCAAGACCAACAGCACCAAAACCTCAGCCCAAGCCTGAGCCGATGGAAATAGATGCTTCCATGCAATCCCGAGCTGTTAACTACATGAATAGGCCAGCACAAAATAATAGATTTTATGGAAAGAGACCATCAGAACATTCTGACCAATTTAGGAGACCTGATAAGGCACAAAGAAATTTTCATGTAGACACAGATGAATTAGGTCCCACCGCTGAAGAATACGAAACAATGTTAGAGCAGTATGAAAATCAAGAACAATTATCTGATCTCATTGATTACATAAAAAATCAATATGATGTTCTTGACAACGATGACAAAGAAGATACACAAGAATTCGTAGATATTCATTTTTTAGATTAACGAATTCGTCCTTACCTTATTTTGAATGTAGGACGAATTCAGGGCAAATTCTTAAAATCTTGATTGATACGGGTTCAAATAAAAACTATATCCAACCTGGACTTATAAAAAATCCTTTAGAAAATAAAACCCCGTTTTTTGCAAACTCAGTAGGAGGAAAAACAGCAATAACACAACACACTTTTATTAATCTTTTTGACAAAAATTGTTGCCCTCTACAATTCTTCCTTTTACCAACCCTTAAATCTTTTGACGGAATTTTAGGAAACGATAGCTTAAAAAAATTATCTGCTGTCATTTATACGTCAAAAGACTACATGCTTATAGACAATAGAATAAAAGTGAAAATAAAGCAGAAATTATCTAGATCTGTGAACACTATCGACCTTAGGACAGACCATTTAACCCCACAAGAGAAACAAAAATTAGATCTAGTGATCCAAAGGCATAAATCACTCTTTGGGGAACCAAATCAAAAACTTACTTACACTACGACAGTAGTCGCCGATATTCAGACTACCAATGTCGAACCAGTTTATTCAAAATTTTATCCCTACCCTATGCATTTGAAAGGAGAAGTAGAAAAACAGATAAAGGAACTCCTCGATCAAGGTATAATTAGACCTTCACGGTCACCATACAATTCACCCATCTGGATCGTGCCAAAAAAATCGGATGCATCAGGCAAAGTGAAATACAGAATGGTGATAGACTATAGAAAATTAAATAAGGAGACAATTCGAGATAGATATCCCATCCCAGAAATAAATGAAATCCTACCACAAATAGGAAAAAATAAACTGTTTAGTGTATTAGATTTAAAAAGTGGATTTCACCAAATATTACTTAGGGAAAGTGATAGAGAAAAAACTGCCTTTTCTATTAATAATGCAAAATACGAATTCACTCGACTTCCATTTGGTTTGAAAAATGCTCCGTCCATATTCCAACGAGCCTTGGACGACATTCTTAGGGAGCACATTGGCAAAATATGTTTCATCTATATGGATGATATAATAATATTCGCAGAGGATGAAGATTCACATCTCAAGAATATTTCAACCATATTCGAGACATTAGAGAAAGCCAATATAAAGGTACAACTCGACAAATGTGAATTTTTGAAAAAAGAAGTTGAATTCCTAGGTTTCATAATATCCGATTCCGGTATAAAAACAAACCCAAAAAGGGTTGAAGCAATAGAAAAATTTCCACTTCCGTTAACACTAAAAGACTTAAGATCATTTTTAGGACTTTGTAATTTCTACAGACGCTTTATTAGAGATTATGCCAAAATTTCTAAACCTCTGACAATATATTTAAGGGGGGAGGCAGGACGTGCGTCCAAATACGTTTCCAATAAAATGGCCATAGATCTCGATCAAGAAGCAGTAGAAGCTTTTAATAAATTAAAGAGAATATTGTCATCGGAAGACGTAATATTGGCATATCCCGATTTTAATAAAGAATTTGAACTTACTACGGACGCTTCGCACTATGCAATGGGCGCAGTGCTTTCACAAGATAATAAACCAATTGTATTTTTGTCTAAAACTTTCAAAAAGGAAGAGGAACATTATGCAACAAACGAAAAGGAGATGCTTGCAATTACTTGGGCTCTCAAATCCCTCAGAAACTACCTTTACGGTTCTGCCAAACTTAAAATTTATACCGATCACCTTCCACTGACATACGCATTGAATAATAAAACAGCTAATTTCAAGCTAAGAAGATGGAAAGCCTTCCTTGAGGAATTCAATTACGAATTACTATACAAACCCGGTAGTACAAATGTAGTTGCCGATACACTATCAAGACCTCCTAAAGAACCAGAAGAGATAAATGCTCTGACTTCGACCCAACACAGTCATGAAAGCTCATCTCATAATTTAATACAATACACTGACGCTCCGATAAACGCATTTAAGAATCAAATTCTCATCTCTGCAGAAGATGATGAACCAGCTTATAAATTTGAAATTGTCTTTCCAACTTATCACAGACATACTATAAATGAACGAAATATTACACCAGAATTTCTCAGAGACATTTTGAAGAAATATTTAAACCCATCGGTAACAAACTGCTTAAAGACTAATGACGAAATCTTGGGAGTATTGCAAGAAGTGTTCCGTGATAATTTCACACAATACAAAGTCAAATATTCAAGACAAATGGTAACCGACTTGAAAAATGATGAAGACCAAGAAAACAAGATTATTGCTGAACATAATAGAGCACACCGAAATAGCGTAGAAAATAAAGCACAGTTATTGACAAAGTACTACTTTCCCAGAATGCAAGCTAAAATTAAGAAAATAGTCGATCAATGTAAAGTTTGCAAAGAAAACAAATACGATAGACATCCTAATAAGATAGGCCTACAGGAAACACCTATCCCACAAAATCCTGGACAGATTGTTCACATAGACATTTACATAACCGAAAAGACATCCGTATTGACGGCTATAGACAAGTTTTCTAAATACGCTCAAGCAAAAATCCTGAAATCAAGATCAGCAGAAGACATTAAAGAACCACTTAGGGAATTAGTCATATCCTTTGGAATTCCTGAAATAATAGTTATCGACAACGAAAGATCTTTTAATTCCAAAGCAATAGTTTTCATGTTAGAAAATCAGTACAACATCAAATTGTTCAAAATCCCGCCGTACAGTAGTACTGTAAATGGGCAAATTGAGCGGTTCCACTCTACACTGTCAGAGATAATGCGATGTCTAAAAGCACAGAACTTACACAAATCCTTCTCAGAGCTTTTACATAGATCCATTTACGAATATAATAACACAATACACTCAAGCATTCAAAAGAAACCAGTTGAAGCATTTCTTGGAAAAAGGGCAAACATGAGTCAGGATGATATAGAGAAAGAAAGATCCGAAATTGCCCAAAGGCTTAAAGAAAAACAAGCAGAAGATATTAACTACCACAATAAGAAAAGGACTCAACCAAAAACCTATACGCCAGGAGAAATCATATTCGTAAAAGAGAATAGGAGACTTGGGACAAAGTTAAGTAAGGCATACAGACAAGAAATAGTAAAAGAAAACCAAAATACAACTGTTATTACAGAATCAGGAAAAACCGTACACAAAAACAATATCAGAAATTAAGAAATCAAATATTTTCAGATTTTTATTCGCCACGGCGACCGCCTATGTCAAGATTTTGGACTATACAAACTCTCAAATTGTTGCGTTTGATTCCGGTTTGGCAAAAATTCAAGATGGTAACTTCAGGATAATTCATATCATTGACATCGACAAATATCAAGAAACAATAAATTCCCTACAAAACATCCTTTCCCAGAACATAACCAAACACCATTTCCTTCATCCCTTCCTAACCCATGAGCTGACAGAGATTCAAGGATACTTGGACCGTTTGAAGCCAAACGTGAAAAATAAACGATCATTGAATTTTATAGGTTCAGCGTGGAAATGGATTGCTGGAAATCCAGACCACGATGATTTTGAAATAATAACTCAGAAAACTAATGAAGTTCTAGAAAACAATAATAAACAAGTTGTAATTAACAAATTGTCATTGAGAAAAATTAATGAGTTAACACAAATAACTAATGAAATAATAAAAAGTATAAATTACAGTGATGTAAACAGAGATAGATTAAGTTCAAAATTAAAATTTAAAATAGAAATATTAAAACAAGAAATTGTAAATATTCAATACGCTATCCATTGGGCAAAAATAGGAATTGTAAACTCATTCATACTTTCATCTGACGAGATAAATATTATTAAAAATATAATTGAAAAAGATTCAATACCGTTTGTTAATGTAGAAGAAATCTTTGAATTTGCTCAAATAAAAATCGCAACTAATAATCAATCTATCATTTATATTATTAGAATACCAATGACAGACAACAAAGTTTGTAATAGATTATTACTGAAACCTATAAAATTTGAGAAGTTCGTCAATAAATTAAAATTCGAAAATGTAATAATGTGCAAACAAGATTTAAAATTATACGGAATCAAGAGTGAATGCATGAAATACAATAATATAAGTATCTGTAATAGCATAAACTTAGAAGCTATAGAGAATAACACCTGTATTTCTAATTTGTTAAATAGCAAGACATCGAATTGCACGGTAACTGATAACAAAACAGTACCAACAGTTGAAGAAGTTTCTCCAGGGGTAATCCTGTTAAATAATTTCAATGAAACAATCCTAATAAATAATGTTACACAAAGACTTATTGGATCGTATGTCATCCAATATAGCAACACTACACTAAGTATTTCCGACAAATCATATTCCTTTTTTGAAATAAGCCATATTCAACCATTACCGGCGATTCTGCAACCTAGGGAGTCTGTTCTCAGTATAGAAGAGACGCTCTCTTTAGAGTCAATTAAAGAAATTCAAATTAGTAACACAAAAGCCATAAATTTATTGGGAGGCAAATACGAGTGGGGTCAAACCACAAATTTTGGACTTACCTCCTTCGCGATAATATTGATAATCGTTTTCATTATAAGGTCCAAGATCTGCAAAAGGGGAAAAGAAATTATACTCACCCCGTCTATAGCAGATTCATGTCCGTATGACGCACGTAATCGTGTTCCTATGCCGGAAGTAGTGGAATTGCCGGGAATACGAAGAATTTCTCATATTCCCTATTTTTGACCGATCGAGGACGCTCGGTTTAAAGAGGGGAGGAGTTAACGTTAACTTCTTTATTTCTGTTTCTGTTGCGCGTGCAAGTTCGATGGCACTTAAATATGCTTGCAAAATGCTTACAATGCATTCATGTCATTCATTCGTATAAACAACAGATAAATGCTTACATTTTAAGAAACCTAACTCTAAGAAATAATAAAATCAAAAGTGCTAACGTTGCACTAAATACATTGTCCAACAAAACTTAATTTTAAGAATAAAGGAAAAATAAAGTTAGTCCCATTTTGTCACTCGAAAAAGAACGTTATGTTTAATTTATATATACTTTTTGGGTCTGACATGTGTATTTCGAGGAGTTACAAACGGAATAACAAAGGGTATAAAAATAGTCCATACTTTTTCAACAAACCTCGTAGGTATGTAACAATGTCTTCACAAACACATCACCGAATCATGAGGTGCAAATTCTTCACACATCCAAAACCACACAGAGCGGTTAAATGTGAGTAGTAGCGGGGGGAATGACCATTCATAGCAAACTATTTATGCAGATTAAAAACGAAATCAATTTGTGTAGGTCAAGTTTAAATATCGCGATGATCAACATAAAACTATAAACAATATTTGAATGTATGTTAAAATCATTCACAAATCAGATGTTTTCAGATAAAACATATGTAGTTTGTAGAAAGTATCAGTCAGATTGCCAACAGATATATACCCTCAGCATGCGGGCATTTATATATGTCTGTATGTACGCGCACCAAATGCGATTTTAATTTATGGTTTGACCTAAGTTTGTTTATATAAAATCAGAGTCTCTGCACAAATTGTATTGAATAACCGATTTTTCAAAACTTTAACCGATTGTCGAAGAGGTACTAGAAGAATTGAACCATAATTTGTCATTCTCATATCATGAGGAGAAATATTGAGAAATGGAAAGTTTTCAGAAAATCTGTCCATTTTTTAATATTTAATGTAATTGTTATTTTTAATGTCATTGTTATTCAAAATGTCTTTGACTAAAGCATGATGTAAATATTAACCAGCTAGTACTTCAGTCTTCAACCTACCAATACATAATTTCTACAAAAACATGCTATTCAAAGTAAGTTGTTATTATTTGTCCACTAAAACGACAAATAAGAATTTGTTTTATTTTTAGAGTCCGCTTTTTATACCCTACACCACATAGTGTTAAGGGTATTATGGCTTTTGTGCATTTGTTGGTAACATGGAGAAGGAAGCGAGATAGACTCATAGTTACTTTTGGGGATCTTCATAGAATCACTTTCTGTGTCGATGTATGCATGTCAGTCCGTTTGTCTGTCCGTCTGTCTGTCCGTCTGTCCATGTATTCGAAATGCAGATCGCATTTATCCGATTGAGAAGTAATTTCCAAACAATATTTATTTGGCCCAAAGTCGAACCCTATTCAAATTGATGAGAATCGGTTCAAATTTAGATATAGCTTCCATATATCTCTTCAACCGATTTTGGGTTAATTGTGCACCAAATGGCTAATATTGGTCCAAATGAATTTTGGCACATCTTACCGAATTCAGTCTAGAAGCAAGTATATCAAATGTTTATACCCTACACCACATAGTGGTAAGGGTATTATGTCTTTGTGCATTTGTTTGTAATATGGAGAAGGAAGAGAGATAGACTCATAGTTACTTTTGAGGATCTTTATAGAATCACTTTCTGAGTCGAGGAGGGTATAAAAATGATTCGAATTCGTAAATTAGACCGGAAGTGAATTTTGACTTTAAAAATATTCGCGTTCGAGTATAAATTTTGGCATTTCGCACAAAACTTACGGCCCATCTCACGCTCTAAATATTTTGCATAGCCTAAATTCTATAACACGTAGTGTTGTGGCGTATAAACTTGAAAAAGTCAGTCTTAACAACAAGGCAACACTGTGCCTTTGCACTAGTTCTACAAATGCAGCTACCCTTATATTTTAAACCTAAATAAGTAATAACGTAGATAAATAAATTTAAATAAATAAATGAACAAATAAATAATTTGCATACCTAGTGGTGGATTGGTTTCGTACTTCTGTATGAACATATTTCGCAGCTCATCGACTTGCTCTTTAGAAGGCGTCATGGTTTTAATCGGCATTGTGGATGGGTTACAGTTTCTTTTGTGTGTCTACCAAAAAATTTCTTAAACACCTCCCTTGCGGCAAAAAATGAAAATGTAACACTCGACAGAACAAGTAAGCAGTAGTTTGCGTAGTACAAATCACACAATTCACTAGTCGCCACACACGTATTAATTTCACTTTCTTTCTTCTCTTCTGTATGAACGAATACTTTAACACACGACTCACTCGCTCTTCCCTTGTTTTGCTCACACACTTTTCACCGCAAATAATAAACAAACCCAGACTACACAAATACGGACCACACAGAAAACGGTATGTTTAGCACACAACATACACCGGCATACTAAACGAAATAAACGCCAGCTATTTCTGATAGCGACCTGAGCATTTCCCCCCTTCAAGCTTGTAGATGGGACCTTTCTTTGGACATTAATTTTCCGGTGACTATTCGAGTTTAGAATTAGATTAGAATTTTACCATTTATTGTTGTTGAGTTTTGACGCGGAACCGTGATTAGGAGTGGCTGGGGAGGGGATTTAAAGACTTGTTACTCTAAGATGGTTATCACAACTTTTTATTTGATTATAACAACGTTGTTTTTGGAATGTTGTATTTTTTCCGTAGTTGGTCATATTTTGGCACCCGGTTTATGTGTACGTTTGTATGTACATCTATACTCATCACACAAACAAACATGTATTTTTTGACATCTGAATTTGCACCTTCAAATCTATTTGGTAACAATAAACTTAATCAGCTGTAGCTGATAATGATATAAATAACAAATCGAATACTGTTGGCGAGGCACCGTAACAACCGAACTCAACTGATATCAATTTAAACTACGAATCAAAATATCAACCTACTAAAATATACTCAAATTCATTCAACGATTACAAATACTGAGTACGATCGCGACATTTCTCGTTCTCGCACTGTGAGTAGTGGCATTGTAGGGACTGAAAAACGTCATAAAATAAATTGGCTTGACTCGACCTCATCCTCAGCAATGACTACATTAAAATGGGTAAACACAAGTTTAATATATCAGTCGGTTTTGCCGACAGATGTATACCCCCTGCCTTGAGTTGTGATTATTCAAACTGTTGACCTGGGGGAGGTTCCGAAGCAGTTGGCCAATATTGTCAAATTCGTATCTGACCTAAGTCTGATATAAATATTAAAACATGCCAGGTTTGAACTATATCGTCTACATCCTATACTTTATATGAGATATGTGCAAATTTTTGGAAAAAGTGAAAATATGTGTGAAGTTGCGGACCGAAATCATTTCATCTAATACAGTTAAATATATTGGGTTGTAAAAATTTAAAGGAAATCGGACAGATATATCCAATTGTATACGAAATCATAAATTCCCATAAATTACATATTAATACCCGAATTCTGGTTAAGATAAATATTTAGATATAGGAAGTTATAAGGAATCGTATAAGTATTAGAAATTCTGACCCTTTGTGGGTTAGGTACCAGAAGGGGTTGGTAAATATCTATCATCTTCACAACAGTTCGTGCGTTAGCAAAAATATTTGGATGTGTGAAATTTGAATAGAGTTGGATGCTTACTTCGGCTTTTATGAGCGTTTCGTTTTTTTCGTTTTTTCGTTTTTTTTTTCAAAATTATGAACCCTTTGTGGGGGAAGTACTAGAAGAAGTGCGTCGATATATCCCATTGTGTTAGTATAAATAATGACATGCGTGAAATTTGAAGTGAACATGATGTTTATTTCGGATTTTATGATCGTTTTGGTTATTTAAAATGTTGATCCTTTGTGGGGGAGGTACCAGATGAAATGGTCCGATCTCTACCTTATTTATAACAGATATTGTGTTGATAGAAATATTGAAATGTTCCAAGTCTTAATGGAAATGAGTTTATGAGTTTCATGTATATTCAAAATTTTGTGGGGGAGATACCACAAGGAGTGGTTCGATATATCCCATCTTAACACCAGACCTTGGGTTAATAGTAATATTGCGATCTGCGTAATTTGATCGGACTCTTACATCACATTTAATAAGTGTTATAATTATTCAAAATTTTGATCCTTTGTGGGGGAGTTACTTGATTGAGTGGACCGATATTGTCCATTTTCGCACCTTGGAAAAATTTGACCTTTTGTGGTAAGGTACAAGAAGAAATGGTCCATCTCTAACATCTTTATAACAGATCTTGTGTTGACAGAAATATTGAGATGTTCCAAGTCTTAATGGGATCGTATGTTAATTTTGCGTTATATGAGTTTTTACGGATATTCAAAATTTTGAGCCTTTGTGGGGGAGGTTCCGGAAGGAGTGGACCGATATTGCCATCTCCAAACTTTATCTAAGTTTGATAATAATATTACGATGTACCAAGTCTGGACCAAATCGGATATACCCTTCGAGAGTTATCGTGCGCACCAGCCAGACAGACGGACGGGCATCGCTAGATTGACTCCAAATGTCCTCAAACGGATTTGGTTCACTTTGGTACTTAGGGTCTAAAACCGATATTTCGATGAAGCACGTTTTGGCGTATCAAATGATATATACCTTCTATAGCCATATGTCTGAGGGTATATTCAGTATTGACAAAAGTACGAATTAAACCAGTTAAGGAAGGAACGAAGATACCCTACACTATGCATATTTTGCAGTTGTATCCATAGCTTATGTATTTTAATATTGGGGATTTGTGTGATGTTAATATGGCCTAAGAGGTATTTTTATACCCTCAACTTTGAAAAGAAGGATATATTAACTTTATAATTCTGTTTGTAACATCCCTAAATATTCGTCGTTGACTCCATAAATTATTTGACGTAGAGTTTCAAAATTTGGCACAATAATTTGTATAGTATCTAGGATGGTTGGTACTGAAAATGAAATATATCCGTCCACGTTTTGGTATATCACCCATATTTTCATGGATTTATCAAAAAATTATTTTTTTGTAGTTCGTAATGGGTTCTAGCTCCGGTGGCGGAATATTGTATGTATTGGTAAACGTCTTCGTATAGATCTCATATAACAGTACCTCCTGATATTCAAAAATTTGATGATTTTTGCACCTTTTTCCACTTATTTCTCTAAAAAATGGTATTTGCAGTTCATAATGGGTTCAAGCTTCGGTGACAGAACACTGAGCATCTAGGTCCACGTTTTCCTGTAGCACACACATATAACGGTACCGACCGATATTCTGTATTTTTATAATACTAGTCACATTTACCCACGAAATTGTTACAAATTTGGTATTTAAGACTCGCAATAGATAACAATTCTTGTAGCATAAAATGGTCTATATAACTTCCAGTTTCGATATGGCCTCACCCACTTTATGTTTTTTTTTAAAAGTTTAACAGTATTATACACACGGTCTTATTGGTGTTTGTAGTTTAAAGTGGAACCCTTTTGAATTCACAAAAATACCGAAAATAGGGCGGTACCATCATATGGGGGCCATACCAAAACGTGGACCTACATGACCCCTACCAAAAGTCCTGAAGACATAATATACATTCGAGTAAATTTTTATCAACCACAGACGGACGGACATCGCTAAATCGAATTTTATACTGATCGAGAATATATATATATATATATATATATATATATATATATACCTTGTGGGGTCTAAAATGTATATTTCGAGTTGTTACAAACGGAATGACAAACTTAAAATACCCTCCATACTATGGTGGAGAGTAAAGAAAAAAACAAAACGCATGCGATTGCTTTCTTAAATATCGGTCGATAACCGAAAACATTTCTCCATGTGACCCACTTTATTATACCATGCTCATGAACTGCAGTATGAATTGAGTAAAGATTCACATAAATTGATTTGTTGTTTATTCCGATTGATAGTCACAACGTTGCCACTCACGAACTTTTAACATTGTGTTTGTAGATCAAATATGAATCAAATGTGAATCGGATTGAGACCATCTTTATTCGAAAATGTACAAAAGAGCTCAGTTTGTACGTAGTAACAGAATTCGTGTTTAGAATTCTAATTAAATTTGAGTTGTGGCACTTTCGACTTTATTATGGCTTTGACCTGGTGACAACTCAGTGTGATATTAAGTGACGTATTCATTTGTGTGTACATACATAGATACATACACACATAGATATAAGTGTCGTGATTTGTATTTACAAATGAGTAAAAATAATATTCTAGGTATATAGGTTGTGAGGGTATTTTTTATTATCTCTATTATCGGCATAAGTAACTACAACACATTGAGTTAACATTCGTACAGAGATAAAAATAATATGATACGAATTTCATTCAAAATTGAAGTATATTTCTTATAGGGTTCAAGACCTGGGTTACACCCGGACCTATTAAACCGATATACAGGGTGAGATGAAAAAACGGCAACCAACTTCAGACTGCTGTCATTGCTAAGTCACTAATCCGACAGCTGTTAAAATTATTCCAGTGACAGCTCATTATATTGTTTACAAGCGTACAAAAGCATTTTGGTGAGAATTTTCCAGAAAAAAAGTTATTCGTGATGGAATTCAAGCGTGATAGTGTGATTTCTTTATATATCGCTGGAAAACCACAAGTGGTTATCGTTAGAGCATTCCAGCATTTAAATGTGAATGAATCTTTTGTGTCTCGTACCATCTCTTGTTACCGTGATACTAGTAGCGTAGCCCGATTTCAAGGAAGTGGACGGAAGAAAACATCAACAGCTGTGGCTGAAAAATGGCTTGTGAGCTGAACATATCACAATATTCCATTCGGCAAATATTGAAAAATGAGCTCGGGGTAAAGCCATTGAAATTCCAAAAAGCGCAAAAACTTACACAGCAACAGAAAGAAAATAGACTCAAAAGAGCTAAAGAGTTGCTTCGCTTGGTGAACTGCCGAATTTGGTTTTTATCTGATGAGAAAACATTTGTTGTCCAGCAAACAAAATGATCGTGTTTACTTGCCAAAGAGGTCAGCTGAAAATGTGTACCTTCGGTTTGCCACCAAAACTCAAGCGCCAGCCATTGTGATGGTATGGGCGGCCATAACAACGGATGGTTGCTCTCCGCTCGTATTAATCGACCGTGACATCAGAATTAATGCCGAATATTATTGCGAAAATATTCTGGAGGCTGTACTAAAGCCTTGGGCACGCAAACATTTTGGCCGCAGACCTTGGACATTCCAACAGGACCGAGCACCATCGTACTCAGCACGCGCCACCCAAGAATGGCCACCAAAATCTCCGGATACCAATCCATTGAACTATTGAGTCTGGAGTATTTTGGAAAGCAAGGTTGGCACTAAAAAATACCAAAGTGTCGGGCAGCGTTTCATTGGCCAATTCGAACAAATCTATACTTGTTCTAAAATTTTCCGACATTTTCTGCTTTTATTCAATAAAATTTAAAAAAAATGTAAAAATTATGGCGATTGATTTTGTTGTAGATTTTTATCTCACCCTGTAGACAATGTGAGTATCGTTTGAAAGCTTATGCGAAATAAGTGGTTTCATGATGGGGTTATTCAAATCGGTTTCTCAGTTGTATCAAAATAATTTTTGGACCCGGATTTTTTAAAAATTCAAAATTCCAAAACTCAAAATTATGGACAAAATAAGGAAATTAAGTATTACTTAAAACCACGAATAGTCAATATTTAAGAATTTATGGCCATTTTTAAATGGGCCATTTTTCCTCCTTATAAAACTGCAATTTAAAACATGCTAAAAAGCCAGAAATGTGAATATTTAATTATTTATGGCCATTTTACAATAGACTCTTTTCCTTTTTAAGAAACTGCAATTTGAAGCATGCTAAAAACCCCAAAATGT